AACCTTTCAAAAGGTGGAATGCCAGCTGTGTTTCTAGGCAATAGTATTTACACGCAATCCACAGAAATTAGACATCCCTCAAGACAACCTGAAAGCTAAGTCTACAGGGCTGTTACAAGAGAAACTGGTTCCCTTTGGGGACACAGAATTTCCAATTAAACTGATCCTACACACATCTGTTAAGATCTTGTTCTCTCATACCTAAGCTGTCACTGGACGGCCAAAGAAAACCAGATCCAGGACTGGGGCAAGGGCTCCCAGGAAAGAGTAACACCAGACACTGCCTACTGTCATTTCCTATTTCCTATAAATAATCCTAATGTCATATATTACCATGTGATTACCTCAAGCCGAGCCTAAGACAACCTCTTAATGGACATTTCAAGAGCCCTGCTTAGAGGAAGGGGCATGAGGAGATGGGAAGGGAAAGCTGAGTTTCTAAATCTCCACTTTGTGCAAGTCTAAGAAATCACCGTCCTCTCTCCCAAAATGACACTAAACAAGAATTTAAGTAGGGAAGATCAGTCAAAATCTCAAATGTAAGTGCAATGTCAGAGTTAATTTACCAAGCTGACCTCTGGTTTCCTTTATTTACTTATCTGCGGAAGTTACCCTTACTTTTCTGAGAGCTAAGCTACACATTTAGAAGGATATTTGCCCCATTTTGTGTAGCATTTCTAGGTGTTTTCGGTGGAAGGACCATCCAGAAAATGTAGCCTAACACACTTCCAGAAAAAGAAATCTGTGAAATTTCTTCATCTGTTGTGGTTATAATTATTCTATCTGGGTGGTGTAGTAAGTCAAGTGAACAAGGTTCAGGGCTTACTATCACATATTAACCATTTAAAAAGAAAGAAATAAAAGAAAACAAAAAAGAATTCAAACTCATTTTTAATGGGATTTTTGCCCCTGCCTGTTGTCACTTCATTTGTCTACCTCTTTAGAAAGATAAGATGAATTTTTTATTTAAGCACATGTATTTATTAAGTTTCCCATTTAATGAGAGAATGTTAATCCTACATTCAGCATGGATTCAAAACATAAGGCTCCAGATATACAACAACATAGCAAGCCAGCTTCAGGACCCCAAGAAACATTAAGTTCACTTCTTTAATATTTAAAATGTATCAAAACCTTAGGTGAAACAAACAGTATTTATGAAAGAATCTATCTGCAAAGGTAGCATTTCACCTATTCCTTTATGGTTCTCATCCCTTGTTATGCATAATCATCACTCTTAAAATTTTAAAAATCCAAACCAAAGAAATCAAAACCTCTCTGGGAAGGACGTGAACATGTTCATTTTTAGAAAGTTCCACAGGTGCTTCTTTCTGAAGGGCAACAACCAAGACTGACAGCTAAAACCCTGAATATTTAAAAATCTATCCCTGGATTAAATCTGAATAATGGATAGCTGTATATGTTTTATACTTATAACAAAAGCAGACAACATATATAGTTACATATAACACATATATATCACAACAAATTTTGGTGAATCATAGGATATCATGTTATAGGCCCGTATTGAGGGCATCTTAAAAAAACATCTTATGAAATGCATTGTCACACTTATAGTAGAGATTTTAATTAAGAAGTTATCCATTGAATGGGGAAGGTGAATTGGAGGAAGGTGGTCAACAGGTATAAACTTCCAGTTAGGAGATAAACCAGGTATAAGGGATGTAATATACAACATAATGACTATCGCTAATGCTGCTGTGTGATAGGGACGTTGCTAAGAGAGTAAATTCTAAAAGTTCTCAATGGAGAAATTTTTTTTTTTTTTGCTTTTTTCCTTCTTTTTATTATATCTGTATGAAAAGATGGGTGTTACCCAAACTTACTATGGTAATCATTCCATAATATATGTAAATCAAATCGTCATGCTGTATGCCTTAAACTTATACATTGATGTATGATAATTACTTCTCAATAAAACCAGAGAAAAAAAGTTATCTGTTATATTATCCAGTGACTCTTCAAACTCTGACTCTTCACAATGCCATGATACTCCATGTGGAAAACCCTAAAGACTCCACCCCAAAATTTCTAGAACTCATACAGAATTCAACAAAGTAGCAGGATATAAAATCAATGGATAGAAATCAGCTGCATTTCTATACACCAACAATAAGACAGAAGGAGGAGAAATTAAGGAATTGATCCCACTTACAACTGCACCAAAAACCATAAGATCCCTAGGAATAAACCTAACCATGAAAGAAACTGAGAAAGACACAAAGAAATGGAAAAACATTCCATGTTCATGGGTTGGAAAAACAAATATTATTAAGATATTTAAGCTACCTAGAGAAATTTATACATTCAGTACAACCCCTACCAAAATACCATCAACTTTTTTCATAGAGCTGGAACAAATAATCCCCAAATTTGTATGGAACCAGAAAAGACCCCAAATAGCCAGAGGAATGTTGAAAAAGAAAACCAAAGTAGGTGGCATCATAATTCCAGACTTCAAGCTATATTACAAAGCTGTAATCATCAAGACAGTATGGTACTGGCACAAAAACAGACACATAGGTCAATGGAACAGAATAGAAAACCCAGGATATGGACCCTCAACTCTATGGTCAACCAATCTTGGACAAAGCAGGAAAAAAATATCCAATGGAAAAAGGACAGTCTTTTCAACAAATGTTGTTGGGAAAATTGGACACCCACATGCAGGAGAATTAAACTGGACCATTTCCTTATACCATACACAAAAGCAGACTCAAAAATGGATGAAAGACCTAAATGTGAGACAGGAATCCATTAAAATCCTAGAGGACAACACAGGCAGTGACCTCTTTGACCTCAGCTGCAGCAACTTCTTACATCTCCAAAGGCAAGGAAAACAAAGGCAAAATGAACTACTGGGACTTAAAGATAAAAAGCTTCTGCACAAAAGAAACAGTCAACAAAACCAAAAGATAGCCAACAGAATGGGAGAAGATATTTGCAAATGTCTTATCAGATAATGGTCTAGTATACAAAATCTATGAAGAACTTACCAAACTCAACACCCAAAAAACAAATAATCCAACCAAGAAATGGGCAGAAGACACAAACAGACATTTCACCAAAGAAGACATACAGATGGCCAACAGACTCATGAAAAAATGCTTAACATCACTCAGTATCAGAGAAATACAAACCAAAACCACAATGATATATCACCTCACACTGGTCAGGATGGCTAAAATTAACAAGTCAGGAAACAACAGATGTTGGCAAGGATGAGGAGAAAGGGAAACCCTCTCACACTGCTGGTGGGAATGAAAGCTGGTACAGCCATTCTGGAAAACATTATGGAAGTTCCTCAAAAAGTTGAAAATAGAGAAGCTACCCTAGGACCCAGCAATTGCACTACCAGGGATTTACCCCAAAGACACAAAGCTAGTGATCCGAAGAGGCACCTATACCCCAATGTTTATAGCAGCAATGTCCATAAGAGCCAAACTATGGAAAGAGACCAGAAGTCCACAAATGAATGGGTAAAGAAGATGTGGGGTGTGTGTGTGTGTGTGTGTGTGTGTGTGTTACAAATTAGAATAATACTCAGCCATCAAAAAATGAAATCTTGCCACTTGCAATGGTGTGGATGGAACTGCTAAGCGAAATATGTCAATCAGAGAAAGTCAACTATATAATCTCACTCATGTGGAATTTAAGAACTCATATGTGGAATTTAAGAAACAAAACAAAGGATTATAGAGGGGAAAATAAAACAAGACGAAATCAGAGAGGGAGACAAACAATAAGAGACTCTTGAACATAGGAAAAAAAACTGAGGGTTGCTGGAGGGAAGATGGGTAGGGAGATGAATTAACTGGGTGATGGGACATTAAGGAGGGCATGGGATGTAATGAGTACTGGGTGTTATATAAGACTGATGAATCAATGAACTCTACCTCTGAAACTAATAATATACTATGTGTTAATTACTTGAAAGTAAATAAAATAAAATTTTAAAAATAGTAATAAATTATCCAGTGACTCCATGAGAATTCATAGGCAGATTTTTGAGATCTCAGAACTAGGTGTGCTCTCACAGAGAAATGATTTTTTTTTTTTTTTAATACAACATGAATCATGTAACTAACTACTCCTGTACTCTGGCCACTACAAATTTGGATCCAATTTATGGCCAAAGCCTAGTGTGTATACAGCATCTTATGACACATATTTTGGGGACTAACTTCATTCCTTCTTTTTCCTTTATCTCTTAATTCTCATTTTTCCTTTTCATATTTTCAATTTTGTATAATATTTTATCTCACTGTAGGTCATGGATCTCTGTATACTGCCTTAAAACTTTCTGTAATAAGGAGATATAGATATATAGATATATAGATATAACTGGAATGATTTATACTTAAACAGAGTGAATGTCAAAGTTGTACAAATACTGTGACAGATAAGAAAGGGAAGTACATGGATAATCACAAGCTCAGCAGGTAATTTAAATAAATTTAAATACTGCTGAAAATTATAATAAATAATAATTATTTATAATATTTATAATTATATTAATATAATAATTAAAACTTATTATATTATATATTATTATATAATATAATATATATTTATATATGAATTATATATAATATAATTATAATATTAATAAATATTATTATATTTATTAATATAATAATTAAAATTTAAAGGGTCTATTACTCAATTTGCAGAGGTAAAAATAATCATGTTACACTTAAAATTAAGATATAAAACACAAATGAATGCAGTGAAACTGAACAAACTGTCCTCAAGCATTGACAATAATAATTACAAGGTCTAGAAAAATATCATTTATGAAAAAAAATCATTTATGCCCAAACTATTTAGTGTACAGCTTAAAGTGAAAATAAATTATATAGCAAAGGAAAAATCAGATTTTTCTATTAAAAGCCTCATACATATTTTGTATTTGGTCCTTAGAAGACTACATATATTCATTTTTATTTTAATTAATAGACTTTCAGAGCTAAACATACCTGGCTATGTAGCTCTCAGTATATGTTTTTCTTTTGTTTGTAACCACACCTGAGGAAGGATTTCTTGCCAAACTTGGTGGTGTGGAATTTCGAGGTTTGATGTTAGTTCTAGAAGAGAGAAAGAGATGGCATAATGAAAAGGTATTGAATAGCAAGCATTTATTTCTTATATTGCTTATATACATGATTAATTTTGAAGCTGTAGAAAGGTGAACTCAAAAGAGTAAAACTGAATTATTTTAAATCTGAAAACAACAGTAGTTAAAACAAAGGATAAACCAAAGCATTTTGCATTTACTAACATTAACTTGATTGTAAATAAAATTAATTTTTAAAAAACCATATATATACGTGTGTGTGTGTGTGTGTGTGTGTATACACACACACGTATGTTTTACATGAAATTTTAAGTCAATAATCCTGAAAGGCTTCAGGTTTTTAAAAATTTAAATCTGTAATTCCTTCAAAATAGAGAGGTATCTTGTTAAATGCCTATGAATAACTGTTAAATAATGTCATATATTATGAGATATGGTTAAATCCAAGAAAAAACCATCGGCTAACCATTTTAATAATTTTCAATTTATGAAAGCCTGTTTTTGGAAATAGCAACTAAAATAAATGCGTTAATATAATTTTCCCTTTTAAGACTTAATCTCACCAAGTATACAGCCTCGGCTATCTGCTACCAGTAGAGGATTTCTGGTTGGATATTATCACTTAATTCCCTTTATGAAATTTCAGGAATCAAAGAAAGCTCAGAGGGTTGAATGATGGTACAATGGTAAAAGTATAGGATTTGAGATTCAGATGAATCTGGATTCAAATCCCAATTGCTACTGACTAATATGGAGGTAGTGGCCAACCTGTATCCAAGTTCCCCCATTTATAAAGTATGACTATCATCACTTACCTTAGAAGAAATTGCGGATACCAACTGCAATTTATATAAACATTCAGAATAGTTGATGATGATGATGATACTATTACTATTATCGATATTGATACTGTTCCTAGTTAACATTTACAAAATGTTACTTATTACTACATTTGGTATAGATTTCTAATTGCTTTCATATATAAAGTTACTTTATCCTCATAATAATCCAATGGATTAAGTAGTATTAATAACTCCATTTTAGAAATGAGGCAACTGAGGCAAAGAGTGGTTAAGTAACAACCAACGTGACATCCAGTATGTTGCTGAACTTGAGGTCATATGGTAAATAAAGAGCTAGTTCCTCTTTAGAGACTTAGTCAAATCTTTTCATTTCAGAGATATGCAATATTGTGTTATACCAACAAACAGAATACTTTTAAAAACTCCTTTAGATTGTAAGTTCTTAAACTATGGCTGAAATTTTTCCCCTTTATAAAGCAAAGCTGAAGAGTCTGAAAATTCTACATAGCTACCTCCAAAATATACACAGGTAATAACTACATCTATTTTTTGAATGCCAAATATGATGCCAGGTACTATGAATACTTTACTTGGTTTCATCTTCATAGAAATCTCAGAAGATATTATTCCCATTTTAAAGTTGAAGAAAATCATATTAGAGAAATCAAGTAAGCTGCAAAGCTATTACAAGGCCACAGTATTTGAACCTGAATTTAGGTGGGTCATATTACAAATCTTATTATATTCAATATGGAATGCTGTCTGTTGTTCAAAGAGAGGCTGCTTTGAATAGTTACTTCAGATTTTTTCTAAACTTTGACTAGAATCACCTTGGTGCATGATTGGGTTACCCTGGCCCTCTTCAAATGCCCACTGACAGTCTAACCATGGCGTATACTCTACTCTTAAATAGCCCTCTAGGAAGTTGAACCGCTATAGTACCTTTTCAGGAATTCAATCTCTATGAAAATCACTGCCAAACGATAGCAATTCCTCCAGTGAGAGTTGTAAGAGAACTAGAAAGGACACATTTTTTATTTCTTGGCTCTAGAACAAAGCCTTATTAGAAATCCTATCACCTTCATTTAATATGTACATGAGATACACAGATAATACAAACACACCTATGGATATAGACACATAACCTCACCATATCAATGAAGTTATTCAAAAAATTAGAAAATAAAAACTAGAGGGGAAAAAAAGAAAAGAAAAATTAGAGAAAATAAGATTATCATCAGTAACCATCATTCTTAACTACCTATCATGTACTTTTAGTAACTGTTTCTAAGAGGTGGAATCTGAGTATAGGGAACCATTCTTAAGAGATTGGGAAGAACAGTCTTGATTAGTGCTTAAAACATGTTGCCATAATCTCACATGGTCAACACTTTTTTGTTCCTGTCCAGAGTTTGAAAAATGCTACCCTTACTCTGTACCTGCAGTCTGCTTGTTCTAGGTCAAAAAATAACAAAAGAAGGTTTAGTTTTGGAATTATACTTACTCTACCTTATTGCTAATCAGTGTTTCTTTGAAATACGTTTCAAAGAGACTAGAGAACAACAACAGTACTAAGAAAAATGGCTCAGGGCACAAATTCTTTATCATGAACTACTTACAAATAACACATGGTGCTGCTAATATTTTAAAGGTTTCTCCCATCTTTATTTTCTATTTAATTAAATTAATCCTTCTTTTCATATGTGGTAAGACAATGCTGTAGTAGGAGTTGGTTTAAAAGTTAACTAAGAGGGGCGCCGGGGTGGCTCAGTGGGTTAAAGCCTCTGCCTTTGGCTGGGGTCATGATCCCAGAGTCCTATGACTGAGCCCCGCATCTGGCTCTCTGCTCAGCAGGGAGCCTGCTTCCCATTCTCTCTGCCTGCCTCTCTGCCTACTTATGATCTCTGTCAAATAAATAAATATAATAAATAAATAAATAAATAATATATATTATATATTATTATATAATAAATAAAATCTTTTAAAAAAATAAAAATAAAAGTTAACTAAGTGAACTCTGTTTAATAGTATATTTTTCAACTTTAATTTAATAAGTAATTTATCTGATTCAAATTTCATCATTTTAAAATGATAGAGCCAGAGTTGGTATTGGAGCCCAATCTAGAAAACCCTGAAGACATCTATGGAAGAGTTCCAAGGTGACTGCCCTTGCCACTCACCCGTTTTCAGCTTTCTGTACCAGTACAGAGGAGAGTGTCATATCTTTTCCCCAATTTTATGTGGAATTTGTAGCAATTTAACCAAAAGACTAAAAATCCCTGGACTGAATATTCTCTAAAATCTCTTTGTTTTCTGCCTTTTTATAATAATTAATCATCCTAACTAAAAAATAATACAGCAATATTACATACTATGTATGGCATAATATCCCCTGTACTCTTCTTTTTGAACATATTACTCCTAAGGGGTGCCTGTGTGGCAGAGTCAGTTAAGCCTTTGACTCCTGATTCCAGCGTAGGTGGTGACCTTGGGGTCATGGAATTAAGACCTGTGTCAGGCTTCATGCAAGGGTGGGGTCTACTTGGGGGAGTCTTTTTTCCTCTTCCTCTGCCCCTCTTGCCCTGTGCCCTGTGCTCTCTCTTAAATAAATAAATCTTTTAAAAAAAAAAATATATATATATATACTCCTAAAAGAAAGCTTCATAAAGATAACTATCATTGAAGGTGACTGCTATTTCAACCCCTCTAAAAGTTCAAATTTAACAGAAATAAATGTATGCTAAAAACAGCTTTATTTAGAACAACAGAAATGTTCATCTGACACATAGTGTTTTAAATCCTTTAAGATTATTTAGCACTTCTTGGCTTAAAAATGATTAAAATATTTTAAAATATAGGAATGTATACGTTTATAGTATTCAATTATACAAAGGCTTTAAGGAAATATCTGAAAAAGGTTAACCAAACTGAGTTACAAATACTTACTTGTAAATGGGTAATAACTCATGTCTTTTGATGGCACTGTCTGATTTTGTATCACTGTCATACAACCTTTGCACATGTCTTCCAGTTCGAAGTGGAGGGCCTAACTTGTCCATCTTACTATTAAAATATATAAAGGTGTACCCATAAGGAGACTGCTGTTTGTTTCTTTATATTAAAAAAAATTTTTTTAAACATTATTCTGGTTCATCAGACATCTACCCCCCAAGCTCTTAATTACTGGACTGCCAGGCTAAGGACTGTCAAAAAGAATCCTTGGATATCATACAATGTCCGCTATTAGATATGACAATTCTGCCGCTCCCGGCCACCCCGCCAGTTGTGACGAACACCCAAACAAATGCCACATTTATACATAGCAGGGCATTGGAAGCAATAAAGAAACTTAAGAAGGACAAGAATTGTTTCAAATAAAATTTGTGAACCTAAAAGTGAACTAGAAGTTACTATCCTGATAAGTAAGACTGAGCTGATATTCCTTCTTGAGTTCACAAATAATCTAATTTTTCTCCTTCCCTGATTTCATAGTACTTTTCTCCTTTTTCTTATTATTTTATTATTTTTCTTGCATTTTAAAATTCCAAGTATAAAGCAATCAAATAAATGAATGATATTTATATCTTTAACTCTATCTGATTTTCTAACGAAGAATGACTATGAAATTTGTACAGAGAATATAAAGCATGATGTATGAAAACACAGGGTTGGCAATCTGAAAAATCACATGTAGAAATGTTAAGTGGACCTGCCATCTGAAGTTTTCTATTTTTTTTTTTAAACCAAAAGTATAAAGGAGCTCCACCTGGAGGAAAATAGGAAAAACTGCGGGTTTGTAGAGATGTCATTGTTTTACATCAACCAAATAACTGAATCCTATGTAATATTACCAACCAATATTCACTCATTGTAGGGAGCAGTGAAAATTAAATTAGGAAGGTAGGCGAACTATCTTAAACGACTACTGAATAACACATTACTGCTCGTTAACTTAAAAAGGATACTCTTTTTAAGGGATGCTTGTTTGCTCCAATGCACTCTTTCACTTATTCATTAATCCTACAAATCATGAGCACCTACTATGTATCAGGCACTATGCTACATTCTGGGGACACTGTGGTAAATGAAGCAGACCTGATGCTTATTCTTATGGCATTTAGTGTCTAAAAGAAGCTGTTCATTGGTCTAGATTATAAAGGGCTCTACAGAGGGACACACTTTATTAATATTTATATTCTTTCAGTAT